TGTGTGTTTTGTGTGTGTTTGTATGTGTTGTGTGTGTTTGCTTGTGTGTGTGTGTTCATGTTTGTGCCTGTTTGTATGTATGTCTGTTTTGTGTGTGTGCGTGTGTTCCTGTTTGTATGTGTGTGTTTGCATGTGTGTTTGCATGTGTGTGTATGTATGTGTGTATGTATGTGTGTATGTGTGTATGTGTGTGTGTGTGTGTTTATGTGGTTGTCTCTTGGTGTGTGTGTGTGTATGTGTTTGTACAGTATGTGTGTTTGTACAGTATGTGTGTTTGTTTGTGTTTATGTGTATGTTTGTGCCCCCGTGCAACTGTGTGAGTGTGTAATTGTGTTTGCGGCTATTTATGTTTTGTTGTGTGTGTATGTGTGTGTGTCTATTTGTATGTGTTTTCATGTGTGTTTTGTGTGTGTTTGTATGTTTCTTAGAGTTGTGTGTGTGTGTGTTTTCATGTGTGTTTTGTATGTGTATGTTTGTGTTTTTGATATGTATTTGTGTATGTGTGTGTGTGCAATTGTGTTTGCGGCTATTTATGTTGTGTGTGTGTGTATACAGTATATGTGTGTGTGTCTATTTGTATGTGTTTTCATGTGTGTTTTGTTTGTGTTTGTATGTTTCTTAGAGTTGTGTGTGTGTGTTTGCATGTGTGTTTTGTATGTTTGTGTTGTGTGTGTATATGTGTGTGTATGTGTGTGTGTCTTACTGCTGCTGTCTCCATTGAAGCTGCCTGATGCCAGCTCAGGCTCAGTGGAGTTGCTGGAGGAGTGTGATCTGGCGTCCAGCGCGGCGAGGGATTGGAGCATGCTCAGTACACTGTTAGAGGTGGGGAACTGCAGGTACTTTTCTGGAACGTAGCCCACCTGCCCGGTCTTATTCCGCGCCTGCACCCAACAAATGCAACACAACATTTAGAGGCAGACTTTAATGAGGAGACCTAAGGTTACGCCTTCCGTCTGCACACTACACCAGAGATTTTCAGCCCCAAAATGGGAGTGTTTTGGAAACGCTAGAGAGGCCGTTTTGGTTTTAAAATGCTGCTGCTCCGTGTCAGTGTGGATGGGGGAAAACCATAGACTGTAAAAGATGAATAGCGCAAATGAAGCTACAAGTAGGCGTGGCTAACTGTTGCCATTTTGTTAGTGCGTCATTGCGCCGACCGTGGGATACCAAACAAGGGCAAAGAGGCAGAGCTACAGACGCCTGCAAGCATTTTGCTTAGACAGGCTTTTCTTTGGAAGAAACGCTTAATCCTTCATTACCTGCGACTCGTTTGTGTTCTAGCACAATTAAGTGCACACAGCGTGCCACATCATTTGATAATG